GAGAGTGGAAAGGCAGAAGGGAAGGAGAGAGGGAGAAATACTGATTTGAGAAACATCAATTGATTGCCTCCCGCACATGCTGGGGATCGAACCCACAACCCTTTGGTGGCTGGGCCAACACTCTCCACTGAGTAACACTGGCCAGGGGAATAAACAAATCATTTTAATAAAGGTAATTTGTTCTGTAGGGGGAAAAAACAGCAAAAGGGGATATATAACTGAGACCTGGCCAGGCAGTAGGTCTTGAACCCAGGTCTCCAGACTCCTGATTCAGGCTTTTCTTTACATTTCCCACCATGGAGGGTGTAAGTGAGCAGTCACCAAAGCCTGAGTGGATGAGGGTCACAGCCATGGAGGCCTTGAGAAGTCAGGCTAGTGGAGGTGCTTGATGTGGTAGAGTTCCTGAGGAAGTGGGGCTTGTACTTACACCTTGAAGATTTCTGATAAGCAGAGGAGGGCATCCTGGCACAGAAACATCCAGAGACGTCTCAGAGGTGGCTGGTCCTGGGAGTGGAGGGTGGTGTAGGAGTTTTCGGAGTGGCTAGTCACAGTAGGGCCTTGAATGCCATGCCTAGGAATAGGGAGAAGTAATTGGTGGTGGTTAAGGGCTGTGGTCCCAGGATGACAGAGCTCTTATCCATCAACTCCCTGGCTTTTCCAACTCTCAGAGGTTGAGTCATTACCAGGCTGCTATAGGCTAAGGCTAAAATTCACCCTTCTGTCCCAGGCTTCTGTCACTCAAGAAAGGTGAGGCTATGGATTCTGAAGATTGCTGCCCCTGTGTCTCTCTTGTAGGTCGTGTTTTTGCCTGGGGCATGGGCACCAACTACCAACTGGGCACGGGACAGGAGGAGGATGCCTGGATCCCCGTGGAGATGACAGGCAAACAGCTGGAGAACCGCCTGGCTCTATCTGTGTCCAGTGGGTGCCAGCACACAGTCTTACTAGTCAGGGACAAGCAACAGAGCTGATGAAGCTTCTAGGGCCTGGCTTCCGGCCCCCACCTCCCTCCTGGAACACAAGCTGTGATGACTACAGACTCCAGCAGGCCTTCCCCAGCCCCAAGTACTTTGTCATCACCTGCCTTTTTTTCCATCCACGGAACAATCACTTCCCTCTTTTTTATTCCTCCTTTCTGGAATTAGCCTGTAACCTATAGGATGGAGAGGGCGGAATGGAAGAGGGGAGTGGGTTTTGTTGGAATGTTTAATTCCCACACCCTGAGGAGTTGGGGCTCCATCAAGCCCTACTCTAGTCATGTGCCACTCTTATGTCCTTCACAATCCACAGGCAGACCGATGGTACAGTTGTCGGACCCAGCTGTCATGCACCTATGCCTGGGGGAAACTGGAGAAGGGCAGGGCTACCAGCCATGGGCAAGTCCAAGCCAAGTATTTGGCCCTGAACAGGTGTCCAAAGGGACAAATAAAGAGTGATCCTCCACTTGATCAAGAAAAAGGCCAATCAGCTTTTCTCCCAGAAGCACAAGTGTTCTGTCCTGCACTGCCCATCCAGCCTGCCTCACCTGCCTGAAGTCTGGAAAGGAAGCTGGCCTGCAGAGCAGGACATGGGGGCGAGGGAAGGAGGGTTTTATAAACAAACAGCAATATCAAGAGTGAAGGGAGGGCAGGGAAGAGGGTTGGATGGGCAGAGACTGGTTCCCAGAAAGGGAAGCAGAAGCTTGTACCATGTCTGAGAAAATAGCAAGCAGGTTTTTTTTTTTTTAATGTAAAGTATTTTAGAAGAGAGAGTGAAATCTTTTAACATTTTGAATAAATTTAGAGTTTTATAAAACAGGCCACTTGTTTTCTACACATTCCCTGCTTTTTTAAGGGAACATCTGCTGTGTTGGGAAGGGCAGGATAAACCCATACCTGTGGACTTTGTCAAGACTAGGACTTAAGGTGATGTCCTGATGTGTGCCTGTCAGCTGTGACTGTTCCATACAAATCAAAAAAGATTTTATTTTTGCTTAGGTATTTATGTTTCAGGAATCACTGTATTTAAAAAAAAATTATGCTGCATAATATGAGAGACATGGAATGATTCTTTCAACATCCTAATCCCAAATCAGGATGGTACATCCCTACAAATACTTTTACTAAGCTTGCTGTTTTATCATTTTCAACAGCTCATGTAATTGATAAAACATGATTAACTGCACAGTAACTCCTAAGACAACTTATTCATATTGATGTAGATTTTCTCAGGCATTTGAGCAAACAGAATCATAGAGCTGGCTAATATGATGGTCACTAGCTACATGTAGCCATTTACATTTAAATCAATGTAAAAAATGTGTAAAAAATTTTAAATTCCTTTTTGTACTAGCCACATTTCAAGTCTTCAATAATTACATGTGGTTAGTGCCTATGGTATTGGGCTATAGAACGTTTCTATAATTTCAGAAAGCTGCAATGAATATTGTTGATACAGCAGGTCTGTATATGAATAAGAAGACATTTTTATTAGGGCCAGGAGGATTTTTCTTGGATGTCAATGACTCTTGGAAAAATGAATATAATGTAAAATAACTTGAAATGTAGTCTGTGATTTTTCCCCCCTTTTGAATTTTTAGTTTTGATACAAGCACTATACTGATTAGAAATTGACTTCTTAAAAGGAAAAAAAAATCACACTTTGATCAATCCCTCTCCCCCATCCACCTCATACCCATCCACCACCAATTTAAATTGGATTAGATTTATTGGAGTTTTCCCCTTTTGACAGTATAGCGGGTTGGAAGTGCCTTGTTTTTTTGTTTTTTGTTTTCTTAAAATATATTTTTATTTATTTTTCACAGAGAGGAAGGGGGAGAGAGAGTTAGAAACATCGATGAGAGAGAAACATCGATCAGCTGCCTCCTGCACATCTCCCACTGAGGATGTGCCCGCAACCCAGGTACATGCCCTTGACCGGAATCGAACCTGGGACCCTTCAGTCCGCAGGCCGACGCTCCATCCACTGAGCCAAACCGGTTTTGGCAGTGCCTTGTTTTTAATAATAGCTCTTATGGAGTGGGACCAAAATGGGCCAGGCATTGTGCTGAGCACTTTATAGGCAATAATAGTTTGTTTAATCCTCACTTCACACCAGCTTTTAAAGTAATTGCTGTCTCAAGAAACAGTCCCTGAGAGTTGAAGTGTAGGCTAGAATCTAAATCAGCTTCTACCTGAACCCAGAACTCAAGTCCTTTTCCCTGTATTGCATGTAAGAATTGTAAAGTTCTCTGTTGGTGCCTTATGTATATCAGAACTGTCAGGCACATAGTGTTCTCTAGTATAACTATTGTACTTCTTTATTCCCTGGAATTAATAATTAATTGCCTTGTTTTTCAAATGCTTAGTTCTATCTTCCCTTATCTCCATCCTGGATTGATTATCCCAAAACAAATGTAGTCATAGTACCCCATGTGGCTCAGCTATAAATAATGTAAATGTTCAATACTGCTTTCACAAAAATTAAGATGGAGAAGTATGTATGTAGGAGGGGCAGTTGTTAAAACATCTGAAACTATAAATGAATATGTTATTTAGAAATATGCAGGTACATTCTAAGGAAAAGATTTGGAAATCATTGCCCCAATAGAGTGAGAGTTGGGGGTAAGGATAGATGGAGTAAGGGACTGCTGTTTATATCATAAATTCAGCAAATTTTTTTTTCAGTGCATACTTACTCCCAAACATTGTAGGAATTTTATTAGGATCAAATGTATAAAGATCCCTGTCTCATGAAGCTTATATTCTAAATAAGTATTTAAAATTTTTCCATACTTTAAAAATAGTAAGCAAAGAGCACAGCACAGGTTGGCAAACAGAACTAAATATATTGCTATAAGTTATCATCTGAAGGTCTCACAACACCCTATAAGGTAAGCACTGCTATTATCCACATTCGTCTCAGGTTCAGTAACTTGCCAGAATAATTGAGAAGGTGCTCCATTTGTTTGAATCTATAGCCAAAGCACCCAACCACTACATTACTATTGCGGTGAAATTTGGCCATTTTGGCAACTCTTGCTTGGATCTCGTTTTCAGACCCATGAGTGCCTGACATAGGGGCTCATCAGCCCAGTTAGGAGTCCCCCAAAGGGATCCGGAAGCATTTGTTAAGAATTTCACTGTTTGAGACAACTATCACCAACAGAAGGTCCCATTCTGAGAAATGGGCACCAAAGTGAGCCGATGGCCTGGGAACACTGTTAAACTCAAGATTCAAATCATCGAAATCGTGTTTACCAAGGACTTCCAGGGGCAGGTTAAAGTCCCTGGCGGTTTGGATTAGGGTAGCGGATTTGGGATTCAAGAAAGCAGAGTGACAAGACTGGGGATTGGTTGAGATGACAGGATTGCCCCAATTGACACTCCTTTTAACCCCGCCCCATCCGGCGATTCACGGGAATAATGGAGGAATCCCATTTCAGCTTCAACAAAAATCTCGCCTTGCGAACTGGGTGGCTGGGGCAGACCAGTGGATTGCCCACAGAGTTCGTGGAACTGGATCGTCCCGGCTCCCAAAGCGGACATTTCACCTTAAAAATAACTTGTATTTGCAAGTTTCTACAATGAGCGTATATTACTTTTGAGATGTTATTTGTACGTCTGTTTAACTACATAAAAGTCAGAAAGAAACCCGAGAGCCAGTTACCCCAGCAACCCACCAACCTGCGCAGGGTGAAGTCCACCCTGCACCGCGCCACGGACTCGGACCCCAATTCGCCCGGAGGGACCCGGAAGCTGCGCCCTACTGAGTCTCCGGAAAATTCCGAAGCAGCACCGGCCGGCGCTGCCCGAGGCGCTGCGTTTCGGAGCGTGCGCAGAAGGCGTCGTCTGCGCATGCTCTGTGGCGCTCCTGGCTGGGGGA